TTTAACACAAAATGGAGACTCATTTCGTGGTGCTGTGACGCCAGTCTTCCTATGTTACCCAATATTATACAAACTAGTCTCCTAGCGACGGTATCGTAAATTACGCGTTATTTCCGAACTCATTTGCTTTTCCAAGCTCTACTGCTACTGCTACTGCTGACGCTCAATGAGATCTAATGTCACTCATAAATTATATAAGAAACAAATGGTGACACATTTCGTGCGCGACCTGTATAAATATAACAAATTTTTATCGGTTAGTTCTTCAATATATTTCAATGCGAGAAGAATGGCATATGCTTGACAATAAAATATAGATATCTTTGAACTTAGAATACATTTTCTCTTTTATATTTACTGTACAACCAGCTACATTTTTGCTGTGCCACGCCGTGACGCCAGGCTCGACCGTCACGCTCGACCAGGCCCCGGAGCGGACGGGCGCACCCGTACCTGACAGCTGGCCAGCGGAACTACAGTCCGAGCCGGCTATAAAAGCCGAGCCCGGCGAGCTGAGAGACAGTCATGTGCCTGCCTACATTGTGAAGTGATAAGAGGATAGTGAACAAGTGCGACGACACAGCTACGGTCACAGACTTTCTCTCTCTTGGAACAGTGAACGGCACAACGGCTGCGATTTTGGACATCTCCCCGGGAAATTGTGACTTGGACATTCTTCGGTATATCTTCTGAAAAATTCTTTGGATATGGCTTGAATTTGTCTATCTCTGTTCTGATTGTGGTTGGAATAAATCCATTTTTAGAAATTGCTTTCTTTTGGGATACTACAATTTTTGATACAGGAACAATAGGTGAAAATGTGTTTTAGTCAATGTATTTTTATAGGTTTCATTAAAGTAAGCTTGGTATATTGTTGTGTTAGTTTTCTATTTCAGAGCTCATTGAGAGTGAGATTGATATTTATTAGTTACGGAATCCACGGAGATCTTTTCGTAAACGTAATAGTTTGGACAAAAGGAAAAGGTAAAAGAATTTCTTCAAAAAACAGCTTCATGAGTTAATAAACTAGCACTCAAACATTTGAAGCTTACTTTTTACTTTCTCCTCAGGTCTCATTAAGTTGAACTCTCTGAATTTCCGAAAATGGCAAAAGTTAGAAATAATTTGAGGGAATATGTGCTGTTGTAGCTCTACTACTTCTGTGTGCATTTGTCAAGACATTTGTCGAATAAAAACATTCTTACAGACAGGATTATTATAAGTGGCTGAGATTTTTCTGTCGTGTGAAAAGCAGGCTTTCTTCTTCTAATCTACAGATGTATCTTATTGGAGATAATATTTATTTTGATGTGTGGAGTGCTGAAATGTCTGATAAATTACTGTTCGTCCTCAGAATTTTCTACAGGAAAAGGGCACGCACAGGGTACGCGTTTTTGAACAAAATGTTATAATAACCCTGGTCAACAGCATTTTTGTAACAAAGAATGTGAACGGTGTTCTTAGCTAAGTCTTGGACACTGAATTTGAATATGAAATCAGTTTTTACTTATCGAACTCAGTTGTCTTACGTGACGCTACTCCTTACTTACGGAAATGCTTATAAAACGCTGCATATGGGTTATTTTGCTGTAGAATCATTTAAGTATTCTGCACATGTAATTGTTCAGGAACAATTTGAAATTGTACAAGTAATTCCTATACATGACACTGAATTCAGAAAATTCGCCTCTACGAAATGAAAGAAAGCTTTGACAACATTGCTGAAAAGGTTTGGCAACATACTCGAAAATATAGAATCGCGTTGTGTTTCTTGACAGTTCTGTTGACGGTTGCGACGACTGTTGCGTAGACAGCATTAAAAGGTCTGATAGCGTGGAATGTGGCTTTGACGAGGCTACTTGCTCCTGGTTCGTGAAGGTTTGTGCTTTGTATTAATTCAGAAGGAGAAATGCCTCGGAACAGTTTAAATAGGTCAAATTCGTTTTTTTATATCTGAGGCGAAATAACTCTGATATTGCAAAAACGGACCCTAATCCTCTGATAAAGAAGTGTTACGAACTTTATTTCAGGTGGAAACTTGGCGACCAGGTCAAGAAATGGGCCCCTTATATACTGCGTCGTGTGTGTTACACTCGTGACATGCTGAGTGAAAGGTTCATGACACATGCCCTTTGCTGTTCCTTTGCTGATTTGGAGGGAACTAACAGATCACCAATAGAGTTTTATTACTCTCTGGCAGAAATAGCTAGGATCACCTCAGAAACGAAGAAAACTGTGCAATATCCGAATTTACCTTCTGCTATAAAGCCTGTATGTCACAGTGAAGTGCCAGTACCCTACTTCCTGAGAATGTGACAGTGAGTGAAGATGAATGGTACAGTGACGAACATTCAGAAGTAAGAGAACAAGATATCCATGTTGACGCAACATTTCAGGCCTCCTGAGACTCAAATGAACCACTTTTTTTACCTCAAGGGGATCTCAAAGATCTTGTCCATGATTTATAAGCGCCGAAGTAAGAGTCTGATCTTTAAGCTTCACGACTAAAAGGACGGTATCTTCTTTTTCCCTGTACGAAAGTGTGTTTTGCGTAATTGTCAAGTAGTTGTTCAAACTATTTCTGCAAGAAAAGTGACATAGATATTGTAATGCTATCGAATGCGTTATATTGACTCTTGGCCGTGATTTCAATATAACTGATTGGCGCTTGTTCATAGATTCTAGCACAATAATTCTGAAGGAAATACATCTCTACAATGGCAACAAATTTCCTTCTGTTCCGATTGTTCATGCAGTTAACCTAAAGGAGACATAAGGTGGCTTTAAACTTCTCCTCACACTTATTAAAAATGAAAAATACAAAGGCATGTGGAGATCTCAAGGTAATTGAATTCTGCTCATTATGCAGCTCGGATAAACAAAGCATTGCTGTTTTCTATGTGAGTGAAACAGCAAAGTCAGAAAAATCACTATTGAGGGAAAAATGGCCTACTCGGAATGAAATACTGCCTGGATAGAGAAAGTGGTTAAAATTTCTCTTCTTGACCCCAAAAAAACATAACATCACGATTCATATATATAGTATGCGAGAGAAGTTCTCAAGAATCAGTAAAGCAAAAATAAGGGAAGGAATATTTGTAGGACCGCAAATTAGAAAATTAATAGCTGATGAACATTTTGTTGATTTATTGAAATATTGATTATTTGAAAAAAGGTATGACTGTATTTTTCAAGTGTTTGTAAAATCTTTTTACTTAACCATAAGACAGAGAACTATCGCGATATTGTACATTAACTATTTAGATCATACCTCCGTATGGGATGTAACATGTCACTTAAACAATAGTTTTAATGATAATTTGGCCTTTTTCTCGTATAACCGCCGCATGTTGCTCAACTACTGATGTATCTTACAAAAAGGGGCAAAAATATCATAAGCAATCGTGAATGAAATATTTTTTGTGTACGCTTCCACCCTTTTCTTAAACTTATGTTGTACCTTTTACTGTATACATTTGGATCTGTCCTTATTAGATAGTGTTTTTGCCAGTTCATACGTACATACGGAGACACTAATTGACAAAAACAATCACTTGAAAACTGACGCCGATTTAGAAATTCTGAAATTAGATCTGGATTGAGAGGCAAATTATTTTCCTTAAACGGTGTGTTTTGTTCTTGTTACAGAAAAACAAAATTGTAGAAGATCGTAATAATAATAATAATAAAATAATAATAATAAAATAATAATAATAACCATAATAATAATAATAATAATAACAATAATAATGATAATAATGTATCACGACCCTTTATTTCAGTTCAAATTTAGCGGCAATACTGAACTTCAGTGGCTTGCGCCGTGATCGAAATACATCAGTTCGCCTTTGTCACAGGTTTTTAAATACAATAAATTGTAATAATATCTGTCAACAATTCTCGCTTATTAAAAGGTAAATTATAATTATAAGAACTTTTTGCAGTAAAAATCCTCTATCGAGGAAGATTGGAGAATCTCGCCAGCTCCCTGCTCTTTGTTTATAAAGGAAATTAGTTTTAAACATATTATGGTGGGAACAGTACAATGTATTTCATACTCGTGCAATGCAATCCCATTTAATAAATAAATAATTTTAATAAACATATAGTTACACCCACACAAGCGCAGGTACGAACCACTACTCTCTACTGAAATGCACCCATGCGACTGAAGGAGGCCCCTTACTTGGGTTTCTCATTCGGCCGCACGAAATGAGTCAGCCCGCCAGCTAAAATGCGAGAAACATATTCCCCGCGTATGTGTTCTTGAGCCCTCATTTCTCTACATACTTGACGAGTGGAGGGTTTGGTTAATCTAACTACAGGACTATTATATCAAATCTCTAGCTCGTTTTTTGATGCAGAATGTATTTGTCATTTTTGGGGTCTATTGCCAATTTTTGGCAGCTAGCTAACGATGTCCCCCATGCCTAGCCCTAAGTTACATTTTCACACTTGGAGGGGCAAGAGAGACATGTGGCGAACATACCGTATTCGCCTCACAGTAAGTAGCAAACTCCACCTGCCTGAGCTTTTCTTCGTCACACATCTACAGAAACTGAGACAATTTTAAAGAAAAGCTACGTACTTAAAGAAATTTTAAGGAAAATAAAAGCTAGGTATTTTTACCCTGCGCGAGAATCGAACTCGGGATCGGAGTCGACCACGTGGAGCTAGTACACGCCACTTCAGGGCTTTCGATGTAAAATAATTTCTATTATAGGCGAGCGAACTTTTCTGTTAATCAGACTTTTCAACAACGCTCGTCGTTAATTCTTACTCCAACTAATGTTAATAAAGGAGCGTGGGTATGTGTTGAGGGCCTCATGAAAACGTGCGCATTTAAGAAGTGCCGAGGGGAGTGCCCCGGGGGGCTGTTGGCGGGGGGCGTTGCCCGAGGGAAGAGCTGCGTACGCCTCGCGGGGCTGGTGTCTCCCTCTCTCACTGCAACCTGAGAATTGAGTTTCTTCTATTGAAATAGTTACATTTCACACATTCTAGGTATAAGTATTTTCCTTGGGTCGGCAGTGCCTAGTCTCCCCTCACACCACGCCACTGCTGGAGATTTGAGCTAATACAAACTTGCTCACAATCATGCTGACAATTAAATACTATAAATTGAAACAAATTAATTCTCGCAATTTATTTGCAATTCTCGGTATGTATTTGGAAAGAAAAAAATAAGACAATGAATAAATAATATGAAATATAGGATTGTTTATGTCGTTGGCACAGATTGGTTCCATTTGAATGTTTTTATAAATTCCATGAATAGCATTTTAGCTCTCTCACGCAGAAGGATCGTTTGCTCTTCTCTTACTCCCATGTTGAAGAGAGCATTTTCTCGTTGAAGTAAGCACAAAATATTTCGTATGTGCTTTGAATTAAAAGATGAAATCTGCGCAAAATAACAATTACAAACCGTTAAACTATTTGAGGTGACAAAAACCACTCACAAGTCATTTAGAGCTGGGTGAGAATTAAAGGAAGTGGGCCATCTCACAAACAGTTTTTAAATTTCGTCCAAAACGTGACTCTTTCCAACGTCCCTTGAGGAAAACTAAAACTTTCAAAAAAGTGCAAATATAACAAAAGTTACAATCAAATTAAGTTTTCTGCATCACTTCAGTAAATCATAAATATCTCGGAGTCTATTAATGAAAGTTTGATACAATTTATATATTCTAAAAATAAATTATTTTTTCCTATTACTATATTAATTTTAATATATTATGTAATTTGTTTATACCAAACATTTTATATGAACCAATAAAAAATTAATTAACATTTGTATTTCAATTTTAGAAGACTTAAACTATATCGAAATACAAATTTTTAGAGTCAATATAATTGCGTGCTCGGCTATTAATAAACAAAAGATTGTCATTTTAGTATTGCGCTTCAAAGCGCTACTTCCGTGAACTTAACAACCGTGAACTATAAAAGGACTAAAAATGTATACATTGATAAAGTTATTTTCATAAATTGATAGTTTATGGAAAATTGCCATTTTATAAACCAAGAAAAAAATACAAAAACGTATTGTCATGTGTTGGCTCTTTTTAAAATAAAGTGATAAGCCATTAGGTTTTGTCGAAATCTAAAATCTCATTGAGGTGGCCCATTTAACAAATTTTTACTCTGATACTTATGTAGTAAATATTAATTCAAATGAAAAATGTGTAACCTTGTATATTATCTCTAGCATACTAGTATTTTACTGACGTTATAACACTTAAGAGTACATGTTGAAATGGGCGATTCTCCATAAATATATCGATTTGAATAATGATTTTTTTAATATATATAGAATCTCTTAAAGAATCTTATAAATACAGGATTCTTTCAAAATACTTATTTTCTTGAGCTGTAATTTACATAAATGTACAATTAAGATCTATCAAACATAAAATAAATAAGATATTTATATGATATCGAAGTAAAAACAAATGTTTCGTGAATTAACATTCAAAGCATGGAGCTAGGAATACATGACATGACGACACCAACTTGAAGCTATCGATCTGCTATATTGCTGAGCCAAAACGCTTGTAGGCGTTCTCATGATGAGATGCTATTTGGCATAGCTTTTAATATTTAAAAGCCTTGAACATATTAGCAAGCTTTCGTAACAGTTCTTCATGGTTACGTTATGGTGTGGCGTCGTCAACACGAGGGCCAGAACCGTTATGTCGGTGAAAGTGCGCTGCGGGGGAGGAAGGGGTTGAAGCCTTGAACTTCCGGGATTTGCGCTCTGGCAGTTGACGCAGACAGCCGTAGCAGAGGCCAAACATAACCCTTTGCTGTAAACTCCTAAGATGCGAGCCAGCGATCCTCGCTTACCGACAGCAGGCGAGCCACTCGGAAACTGTGTGGTGGGGGGGGGGGTAGCCCTCAACTATTTATACGCGGCGCCAACTGCGCCCGCGTTCTCATTCAGTTTTACTCGGCAGAGCGTTGTACGAGTAGGTCAAGGAGTGTGAGGAGTGTGGGAGAGATGTCCGGAGCGTAAGAGGCCAGACGATCTCGCTGCCTGTAGGCACACGGTCCGCCACGACGGTTTACATTTGGCGTTCAGGCCAGTGTGACGGTAATTGTCACGGGACGGAAAAGTCCGACAAGCTCGCATCACGCGTGCTTTTATTTTCTGGGGTAAAGCAGCGGTACTGGAAAGGAAAAGGTTGCCGGAGTGTTAAATTTAGCTACTTTATTGTAACTTGTCTATAACCTTTTAATATACTATTTTTATTTTGTTATTTGAATTTATTCTCATTTCACTACGTCACAATGGCTTATTGCTGTACAAATGGTTCGAGGAAGGCGTGACTTACTTTTTTCGTGTAAGTAGTTACTTTGGTTTGGTTTGGAGAAATAGTAAAATTTGAAGATATTGGTTAATTTCCGCGATTTTTCTGTTCATACGAAAGAGGAGAGCACTATGGATTAGTTGTGCGAAAAGACAGCTGGCGGCCCAGAACTTATAGAAAGTCATGCTCGGTTCATAGTCAAGGAAAGGATTTTGATGGAACTTCTTTATTGATACGTACATTTGGGGAAACTCGCTGTTCCAACATTTGTAAAATCTTTTCTACCATACATAAGAGAAGTATATTGTGCAGGAATAATTATTTACTGAAGATGCCTTCAAAAGGATATCTAACATTATTATTTTTGACGTCTTCTTGAAAGAAACCCCGAAGTTTTGCACAATGTTGAATCAATTATATTTATGGTCCATGTACAAACTCTAAACTTAAGGACTCCGCTCCTTTGGCTTCAGATGAGGGAACGTCATGTTTATGAAAGAATATATAAGTCGTTTGAGTATAAAATCTTCTCCATCCAGCTTCCTAAGGAGCAGATGTAAGGGATGTCAGTGCTTCTACAACATTTTGTGCGAAATGTGGGCTGTTCCAAATAAAGTAATGTCTTGCTCTTCCCAGTCTTTTCAATGACCTGGGAGTTTAACCAAGTTAAACATACCCCAGAGCTCCGATAATTATTGGGACGACCTGTCTTTTATGCCCCACATTCGGCTGACCTCGATTTCAAAACTCTTGTATTTAAGCCTAATGAACTGCCTCCTTGGTTACGACGATTTGATTGCGCGGCACAGCAATATCTAAAAGTAGATATGTTTTTTCTTCAAATCCTTAATAACAATACCCGGTTTGTTCGCTAGAATCATGCGATCAGTTTGAATTTGTTGGTCGTAAAGTGTAGTACTCAGTCCATCAGATGTAACTGGTTTTGGTGAGTGTTCGCACCACTTTGAGCATGTGTTTGGAACATCGAGAGCATGTAGATCTGCCAGTGGAGGTAACTACACACCCTATCGTGTTTTTTCACGTATTCGGTCTTTGGTAGAATTGTACAAGCTGAGACAATATGATGCAATGGTTTTTAGTAGATCCTTGTAGTTTCAGCATTTACCATCTTGGGAAATCTTGAAAACCGCTTTATCATAATGTGTTCTCAACGCCTAATGATGGGCAGTTTTCCCTTTTAAGCCACATAAACCATTGATCTGCACATTGTTCATTCTTTTCAGATATTGTCCATTCAGTGGTTTGTCTTTCCACGATTTTTTTAACTTTTTTGTCACCCATTTTACGTTTAGTTGCATTGGAAGTTCAGTGTCTGTGTTATTCTGCTTGTTTTGCATAGTTTTCTTTGCAATGCTTCTTGCTACACTAACAATGCCTCTGTTTGCCATTCTTCGGTCAGATTTCATGACCTGCCACATTAGAGGGTCATCTTGATGACTTACTTTCCCATCCCGACTGTACATTGTGCCAGGAGGCTTCAATTTGTCTGAGTCCTCTTCCTCCTTGCTTACGTGACTCATAAAGTCAATGTACATCGGCTCGAGGGTGAGCGACATAATGCATTGTAAGCAGTTTTCTGATTTTTCTATCGATTATTCGAATTTCTTCCGCAGTTCAGTACACTTGTCTGAAACTGTACGAGACTACAGGCACCGCCAAACTACTAATTGCAGATATTTTATTCCTGGCGTTCAGAGCGGAATGCAGGACGTCTCACTCTTCTGTAATATTCCTTGCAAATTCTATCTTTCATTGTGACGTTACAGATGGTATCACAATCTTCAATACTCAGATATTTGTAAGTTTTACCTGGCTCAAGATCTTGAATCACAGTGTGCATATGGACTTCAATGCTCTCTGACGTTGTCACTTTGCCTCTCTTTAAATTGATGGTTGCACACTTGTCAAGACCAAACTACATGCAGATTTCAACCCAGTTTCTCTTCTGTGCCCTCCATTGGCCGATATCAGGAAGTACAGAGGTGCATTCCCTCTCTATGTACTTCCCGCTATGAATGCAGCCGCTCCTATCATGGAGACATGCTGCCGCCAGCTGCAGATCTGATGCTCCCGTTTTGTTCGAGGTACCTCTTCCACCATCTTCATCAATCCTTCTTTCTTCTTCGATGCCGTTGAGGCTCTCCTCTGGAGTACCTCTTTGTCTGACCCCTCACCTTCAACCTATTCAGCAAGGGAGGCCCTACCAGTAGCTAAGCTACCGTCGACATAGCTCTTAGGCTCATGGGGGTACTGAAGTTTCACCACCACCTACAAGGTCGTGTACTCCCTAGGTGGAGTTGTTGTTGTTGTTATTATTATTATTATTATTATTATTATTATTATTATTATTATTATTCAGTGATATTCAAGATATGTTATGCGAGACAATTTTCGGCTTGTTTATTTTGATATGATTTTGAAAACTAATATCGCAAATTTGTGAGAAATCAGTGTTAATTTTTTTACGTGTATTATACCAAATACATTGGAGACAGAACTGTTTTTAGACGAGCTTACGAAAGAAAACACTTACATTCATATGTTTAATTTAAAAAACATAAATAAATATTCTAGAAGTGGGATATAAGTGCCAACAATCGAGGTTTTTTATATTTACAGAAACCGAATCAGGCAGAACATAAAATTACGCTTTTCTGGAGAATCGCCCAAGAATGATACAGGTTGTGAAATGGTAATAAATGAAACTTACCGTATCTTGAAGATGTCGAATAGCATTGAGCTGACTCCAGATATCAGGCTGGCAAAGTGAAATATATATTTCTTTCAGTACTTGTGCCCACTGACTTTCTGTGCTGCTAATATTAGTTTTGAATTTATAAGAATCACTTTGTGACTTTGGTGACGCATGCTGTTGAAGAAAACAAATCATTTGTGATAATACTTGACAGAATGCATCATTTCTATAATGTTAAAACTGATACATACTTGTGCATAAGCGTGAGAAGAAATGCCTACTTCGTCCTTTCAAAAAAATGAGAACTCCGAACCTACCGTGCATCCGAAAACTTAGTTACGTTACTGCGTAGGATGTTTAGAAAGTTCAAAAAATAATAATTAAGTATTCATTAAATTTCTCTACTGCGCAAGAATATACTTTCTGCAATACGTACTAGAGACATGTGATGGGAAGTTATGGAAAGGCGCTCAATGTTTCTTAAGTATTGCACAACAATAAAGATTAGAAACTCATCTACTCAGATGCACTTATCTACTAAAAACACTCCACACTAGTTCATTTCATGATTTTAATTGTTAGGGCTCCTACTATTGGTGGTAATAACAAAATAAAATTATTTTATTTGGAAAATTTCACTGTATTGGATTATAGAATGATCTGTCACTTTTTAGAATATATTGCATTAACTTAATATATTAACTCTTAAATCGGTAGAGATTTTTACTTCCTTGAGAAATATGATTTGTGGGCAGTATCAACAACAACTACAAACAACACTTGTACAATAACTATCTCTCGCGATTGCTATGAAAGAGCAAAGACAGGAAGAGTGAATTTCTTCCAGAACGGCCACTTTACTCAAAGAACTCATCAAATGTACATTCTGAATCAAGAAATCTGTCATTAAATGTAAATAAAACCCCAAACATCATAAACACCGTCAAGAAATTCCACCCAATACCGTCAAGAATAACTGAATTAGTGTACTTTCAATAACACGTGAAATTCATGAAAGGAAGTTGCTGCTGGTTTCAGACTAAGACAGAGAGATAGTATTCCGTTCGCACGTGGCGCCGCGCCGCGCCGCGCCACGCTCTATGGCCAGACGTCACCCTTGTGTGTTGCACGCCAGTGGCTGGTTGCGGTGCTAATACAACCAGGTCCCTGTGTTGAAGCACAGAGACAAAGAGTAAACTCAGTAAAAGAGTTTAAGAGCGTGACAATGTGCACTGCTGGGTGGAGCTCCAGTGGCCGGAGAGTGTCTCTTTCATTTGGACACTCTTTCATTTCAAAATGATTTCATACACATCGATATTGCTGCAATATCTTGAATATTTAATCCATTAAAGGGAAATAAATATACTATATACTGGAACCGTATTTATTCAAATTTTCCTTACCAGGGCCTGGTTATAAGAGTTTTAGTGCCGAAAATTCGCCGTTTGCTGTGATCGATTTCAATACTTTCTCTTCATACCAAGCACGAAGAAGTAAAAATACAGCTTGTCAGTGGACAGTGAAACACTAGAAATCATCAAATCAATTGTATGCGAATTACCCAAATCAAATGTTTTTAATTTTATGATACACTGATTAGTGACTACGAAGCGGCTAAGTGTAACGGACTCTCTCTTCTGGAGTGTGAAATCTTGACTACTGCAGTGAATTTTGGACATCTTCTTGGTTGACGACGATTTTGACTTTTCTCGGTAGATCTATTTTGGAACATTGTTGAACTCGCTTGTATATGGTTACTCTGTACCTGTGGAAGATTGTAATGAACCTTTTTTATGAAAGTACGTTTTTTGGATATAACACTATCATCGTATTTTCGGAACCTAGTTCGTTTGGTTTTGTTGGTCGGAAACTAGTTCGGTTCTCTCTTGTACATAAGAATAGATTTTGAACTCGTAACCAAAATACAAAAACACACATAGAGCATGTCAGCATATTTGCAGTTATTTCATCTTCTAGCTCCTTCCGTTAAAAATTCATTCTGGTGAAGAAGGTATCAAACAGTAGCAAGAAAAATAATTGGATCATATCTTTGTGCCATTTCTGAATAGAGAAAAACAAAAATCGAAGCTTGATACTGCTTTACACATAACAAGATGACACGTTTTTTAAAAAGAAATAGACGCCATGTTCTAAATGTTAAACTTACTAGCATATTATTTACTTCTTCGAATCTTAAGACCTTAATTATTTTGCCGTTTAATACAAAAATACATTAAATTCCTGAACTTAAAAGTTTTCATTGCAAAACATCTCTATTATTCAGAAAAACTGACTGAAAAGCACAAATATTTCGACTAAACCTTCCGCAGTTCCAAGAGTCCATATTCTCAGTGGAATGCCGCATGAACTTAAAGATCTGTTACGGAGATGGGCAGGTCAAATTGCAAATTATACTGAGGTATCATCTTTCAAGCTTTCGTTTGCTTAAAACCATCAACAATTTTCTCTGAAAAACGTATTCGTTTCTCTAATTTCGGCCTGCTTTGCTGCTCCCATCTGCCCCATTGTGCAGCACCTGATCGGGCTATAATAGAGGTATAGTGTGGCTTTAGTGGTGATGTGGAGGCATAATGTCCAAAATCTGCCAACGTCGGGAGTCGAACCCTAGAACTTACTCAACTTACAACGTCACGCAGAACTCAGAAATTCTGTAGTGACTGCAGTTGCTACTCCGAAACATCTCAGCCAATATGATGAAACGAGAACTCTCAAACAACTTGGGGCTCTGCATTTATAAATGACGGTCTCTCAAGAAGGGTGAATCATAATTATGTGCAGGAAATTGTAAGGCAACACTCTGTATTAAATTGTGTCAGTGCAAGCAAAACAATGTGTAGGCATTTACTTACAAAAGCTACAAGGATCAGTGAGCTGTAATATTCGTTGTTTCTCATACTAACCTTTTGTATTAACTGGATATTTTTTCTTTCTTCCTTTTCTCTTTTAATTTTGTTTCTGTATTCTTCAATAATAAGAAGAAGTTTAATCTCCAGTTCAAGCAGAGCACAGAATTCTGCTCTTTTCGAAGATTCTAATTTTAAGAGAGAAATTCTCTTAATTTCCTTTCTTTTCCATTGCTCCACTAAGTCGCAGAGGTAGTTAAAATCTGTTTTTGTACTGGGAAATTTCGCTGATGTTTGTTTTTGCCTCGGGCGTACATGATCTTCATTCACATTTCTGTATTTACTTCGGCCAACATCAAATGATGGATCTTGTATATCTGGAGTCTGACTGTGTCTCATTTTGCATTTCCTCCACCACATTTGTATCAGCCTTACCTAATAAAAAAGTTCATTAGTGTTTCGTTACAAATGAAAATTTTTTCAAAGAATTAGTCACTTCAACAGGGAATCAAACTGAGGTCTCCTCGTTTACACCCAATTGCTCTGAAAACATATAATAATAATAATAATAATAATAATAATAATAATAATAGTTATTATTATCATTATTATTTCACAACTTTCTGGACATACACTAATCATACCGATAGGAATTAAACCATTATCACATAATACTCTTGAATTAATAAATATAAAACTTACAGTAATTACAACGCACACCCGAAATTTATAATTAATATCTTTAACATAGTTTAGGTCTATATCATTAGTAAACAAAAGTTAAAAATTAACCATTCCACTATTCATCTGTATTCATGAATCCTCTAGCAATAAGCATGCATTGATTACGACAGCTTTCCACATATTAATTAATACGGTTTTTTAAATGGCAAGTTCCTTCACTGACTTAATAGTGGCCCTTGGCACAACACCATTAGCCGACAATACCATAGAAATTGTTTTCGTATCTTGCAACTCTTTCACGTCTTGGACGAGTTCTCTATTTCTCCAGCGTCGTCTGTTGTTATTGTCAACCTGAGCAAAGTTCTCAAACAAAATCTTCTTGGATACCTTATCCCAGTAGTAATATCAGTCTGTTGTGATGGACGGTTTGTCTCTCAAGATACATCGGTCGCAGTACAATTTACAGGCATTTTCTAAGACCGTCTGAGGATGGTACCTGTAATGTAGTGTGATCTCCAGCTCAAGACCGCATTCCTTGGCGAATTGGGAAAGGATCATACGTCCAATGGTGTCATGCCAGAGTTTATATTGAGGTGTCAGTAAACTATAGCCTGATAATATAGGCTGGATTGTTTCAGATCGTTGGCTACACATTCTGCAATTGTCATCTACTATGGCAAGGTTTTCAACTTTGAGATAGTTTCTTGTTGATATTACTTGGTCTTAAATTGGATAACAAGGCCCTCAGTCTCAGGGCACAAGTTCCCCATAGTGAGCTAGTACCGGTTTTCCTTGTGCAGGTTGGTCTGTTGGTTCGTACGGTATTCACAGAACCCGACAAGCTGCACAACTCCTTGGTACGCGTAAGATGCGTTACCCCCGTCTCCAGTCGGCAGGCGTATATGAAGCGGCGGCAGGATGTACATTGGCGAGACCGGGCGCACTGTGTCCGAGTGACTCAAAGAACACATCGCCCATTACAACAGAAACAATACCAACCCTTCGGCTATTGCGCACCACTCCGAGATTACGGGACATGCCATAGACGTTGACAAGACCCGGCCCCTCCAAAAGAAAAAAAAACGGTACGGGACGAGACGTATAAAAGGGGCACTAGAAATATAGAGACGACCGCAAAACATCAAGGCGGACGCAGGCCTCACCCTTAACCACGCCTGGAAATCGCTCTTACCAGCCATTCGGGACCGTCCACGCCGTCCGACTACGGGGATGTCTGGCCTAGACCGCCAGCCAATCGAAGAGACCTCCCCGCCAATCACGGCGCACCTGCCCCTCCCGAGCGCCCAGGCAGAAAAGTGTATAACACCGGGCGCGTAACGCCGCAGTGTCACTGCCCTGAGGAAGCCCACGACATGTCAGGCGAAACGTCGGCCTCTCAGCCATCGACGCAGCTTCACCCGGATAGCCAAGAATTTATGGAATCGAGCCGTGGAAGCTTACGTGTGCATAGAACTGACTTCTCTGTAATCTGGACGTCATCGATTTCGTCTCTCACCATTTTTCTGTAAAAATTATTTTTTATGAAGTGCAGGTTGTCTGTTTACCTTTTAAGGCTTTTGAAATAATGTGTCATTCGCTGATTGTCGATCCGTAATTGCTGCTTAAGAGTGTCAGCAAAATCTGTGGTGAATCTATTCTCTATGTTGTAATGCGCATGATTTCGGCATTTGTTCCTAATGTTGGAAATTTTGTTTCGCATACATTTACTTCGGCTTCCTCTCTGGAACGCCTCAACCACAAAAATAGCTTATCTTATGTCCTCGATTTTCTTGACGAGCCTTCGTTTCCACGATGGTTCTGTATTGCTGCCGAAGGTTTAATAATAATAATAATAATAATAATAATAATAATAATAATAATAATAATAATAATAATAA